TTGTCTTTGTTATTGTCATTATACCGTTGTTTGGCTAAATTCCGTACTACCCGGGTTCCCGATTCTAACAGATATGAATATGCAATGAAATAAAAATTCATCTTGCTAAGACTTGTTGACCAATTATAGAAAAGATATATATATAGAAAGAAGTAGGAACAATCAAATTAAGAAACAGAAAACACAATCATAGCTAGGGCAAAATTCAAAAGCCGCACAATTTTAAGACAGGACTCAGAGCAGTGTTAAGTACTACAAATCAAGGTTAATGAGGCGCTCATCATCGGGCATATCTTGTCCTTGGTAGAGTAAGCTTTGTTGATGAAATCGCATCCCTTCCTTTTCTTGCAGTTTGGCCTTAATATCTCCAATTGTGTCATCAGGCTCAACCAGTACACTAATTTTGCGACCAGTATGTTTAAGTGTCATAACGAGTTGTGTTACTAATGCATAATGAAGGATTAAGGTAGATCCTTTCTTGATTCCCAAGGAAACAAGAGTTTGCGCATCTCTCAGGACTACACCCTCCTCATTCAGCAGCTTCTGTTTCTTAAAAGAAATCCCCTTTTCCTCTTGAATGTACGCTTTCACTGCAGCTATACTGTCATCTGGTTCGACCATTAGGATAAAGGAATTTGGACCACAATCTTTATATATGCTACTGTCCTTATCAAGCCCAAATTTCGGTAAATAAGATTTCGGCAATGAACGCCATCTAATCACGTCTTTGTAAATGTCATCTTGAATAATGATCTGCATTGTTCGACTCAATGACCATGGATCTATGGCAGTAAAACATAGCTTATACATTTAACGTTTTAGAAAAAAGATTTGGGTTATTGGTGCATATCGAAGGATTAAGGAAGAATTGTCCTTGATTTCCAAAGATGCAAAAGTTTGTGCATCTTTGCAAACACCACCTTCCTCATTCAACAGCTTCTGCTTCTTAAAAGGAATCCCCTTTGTCTTTTGAATGTATGCTTTCATTGCAGCTATTGTATCATCTAGTTTAACAATTAGGACAAAAGCTTTTGATTCCGATTGGTGGTTTTTAGTACCACTTATACAGTTGTAGAATCCAAATGAACGCCAATTAAACATATCTCTGTAAGTATCATCTTGAATAATGATCTGCATTGTTTGGCTCACTGACCATGGATTCACGACCCAAAAAAAAAAAAAAAAAAAAAAAAAAAAACACAACATAAGCATATATCTTGTTGTTTGAATACAAACTATAATTTCTGTGACGTTTTAGCAAGGAAATAAAAAAAAGTACCAGGTTACCAATTTAAGAGTTTTGCGTAAAAAACAAAGAACGTACTGAAATCTAATCTGCAACTAAGCAGTTTGAAATCTGTGAGAGGAGCTAAACTAGAATGTTACTTTTTTAACGTACAATTTTCAAAATACAGAGAAGAAAATGAGAGCATACCCCGTCTTGCATCCATTACGAACGTTACTTTTGTACTTTGATCTCTTGATTTCTCTCTTCCTCCTCCCATTGAAAGGGCTAAACCCTACTTATAGACTGGAGTATCATTTATTATTGGAAAGTGACAAAAATAAATATTGAGACAATGCAAAATCCCATAGATTTAGGAATCTCCAATTAAAACTGAGGTTTCAATTCATTTTCCAAAAAAAAAAAAATATAATTATTTACATTAACCTATAATTAGTTTCTTATTACTTCGCCTACTTCTTTTTCCAATATTAAGCTAAATAAGTGTTGCGCACGCCCCACATATATGATACATGTCGTATTTTACTTGATAATTTGACTAAAGTATTCTTTTTTGGGGGGTTAACAAGGTAACATGCAGTCACTACCCTGTGGATGCACATAAAGTAAAATCCGCTCTTGTATAATAGCTCGCTAACTACATAGGAGGGTAAATCACACTAGACAAGCCCCGTGCAACCGATTAGGCCAAGGAGGTATGCAAGTGGATTTTGAGCCCTAGGCCTCCCATCTTGGAAGTCTCTTGCTCAACCAACTAAAGTATTTTTATTTATTCTTTGAGATACAATTTCTTTGCTTTTACCATATTAATAATCTCTCTCCACATCTATCATAGTAAGGGTAAAATTAGAAATAGAAGCAATTCTCTTATGGAAAGAGTATAAAATTCGCATATTTCCCGTCAAAAGAGTAGTGCTTTTTTTCCAAATTTGAATGAAAGAGAAGATCAATATTTATGATTTTGTAACTACCACCCCCGTGCAAGACGTGCAAAATAGTATTGATGGTATATTTGGTAGGTAGGAAAATATTTTTCAAATTACGCACTCTAAATACAAGTGTAAGATCAAGGTTTATGGATACTCCCTCCATTCTTTTTAAGTACTTTTTAAGGGTATAACATATTCATTAAGAAAGTTATTTAATAGCATTAATTAAGTGTGTTATTTTACTAAAAGTTTATTTTTATATATGCATAAAAAATATAGAGAAGTTTTAAAAGAGTTCTTAGAAATTTGTTCAACATTTATTAGATAATGGTAATTTTGAAGAAGGAAAAAAAAAGAATTTAATGACTTATTACTTTCTTAAAAATCACTTATTTTAGATCAAATTAAAAAGGCTAAAAATCACTTTAGGAGTACTATTTAATGTTACTCCAACACAGGAAATCTGGTGTGGCCTTGGTTATTATTCGATTTAGGAGTTGGCATCAGTCGGCTCAAGATCGATTTGTTTGATTTTTAATTTTTAATTCGATTTTTTGGTTTTTATATAAGTTTTTTCTTCTCCTTTTATTCCCATTTTGTTATAGAGATTTTTACACTGAAGTAAACATAATGAAATCTCGAATGAATGAACAAAGATACATTGAGAAATGAGAATAGAATAAGATTATATACTAGTAGTTATATCTAGAAGTAGACAAAATAATACCAAAATTTAGGGGGTGGTCGCTATATGTATGCAACAAGTCGAATATGTGCGAGAAATTTGGCAGTGGATTGGTGAAGTAAGAGTCACGGACAAGGGGTATTGATTTTGGGAGGGTTTCTGTAACACAAGGTAAAGATTTTATTCCCGCCATATATTAATATCGTAATACTGCTAAAATTTTATTTTAATTATCCTAAAAAGAATGATATTTTTTATAGATGAAAGATCGAAAATAAATCCCTTGTTTTAAGATTTGATTAAAACATTGTTTTAAGATTTGATTAAAACATTATTATTTAAACTAGAGCACTAAACCAGTGCATTTTTAGTACAAACTAACGGGCCAAACTTAACGTACAAATTGCATGGGCGCCCTATTTGGTCGCCCCTTTTTTACTTATATTCGTTTTGTTTTTCTGTTTGTATCCGTACCCATTTTTTTGTTAATTTTTTTTTAAAAAGACGATTTTGCCCTTCTTTAATAAAAAATTATTGACAAACTGCAGGACAAAAACTTAAGCATGTTTAGGCTGAAATTTTAGCAAATAAACTAAAAAATTTCAGCTTGTTTAAACTGACGTTTCGGATAAAACTCAGGACAAAACTGTCACGACCCAAAATCTGACATGTCGTGATGGCGCCTATCTCAAAACTAGGCAAGCCGATAACATCAATAACCCCCAAATTTTCTTTAAGTTTGAAAAACATAATATTTAAATACAATACAAAATCCCACAAATACTGATATGAACACTCCTCAAAACCTGGAGTCACTGAGTACATGAGCATTTATTATGAATACAAGTCTGAAAAATACAGTCTATAATAGTCTGAGATCAAATACAAAAAACAAGGAGATATGAAAGGAGAGGCAAGATCTGCAAAATACGGCAGCTACCTCAGAATCTTCGTAAAATCAGCTGTGCGAAAGAATCAATGCCCGCTATGTTCGGGAACACCTGGATCTGCACACGAAGTGCAGTGTGTAGTATGAGTACAACCAACTCAGCAAGTAACAATAATAAATAAAGAACTGAAGATAGTGACGAGATACACAGTTATAATTCACTTCCAATAATTCCAGCAAAGAATAGACATATTTTCAAATCTGGCAGTTTAAGTCAAATCAATTTTATACAGTTCAAGTTCATATAATTCGGATATAAATCCTTCAGAGATTTCACAATAATGACAGATAGCAATCAGGTGCAACAACAAATGCAAAGAAAGTATAGCCTCTCAGGCAACAGTCACTCAACTCATCACAACAGCTCAACCACTCGGCTCTCGGCCCTCAGCACTCACACTCAATGGGTACCCGCACTCACTGGGGTGTACAGACTCCAGAGGGGCTCCTACAGCCCAAGCGCTATAATCTACACAGACAACTCATGTGTTGCATGGACAACTCACGTGTTGCACGGACAACTCACGTGCCATAGTATAAATATCTAGATCCGCACGGACAACTCACGTGATGCACGGATAACTCATGTGCTATAGTATAATACAAGGATTTGCATGGACAACTCACGTGCTACACGGACAACTCACGTGCTGCACGGACAACTCACGTGCTGCTATAATATCCCGCATGGAAAACTCACGTGCTATAATATAATATCTCACAATCAGGCCCTCGGCCTCACTTAGTCACAAATCTCTCCAGTCTCTCGGGCTCTCAATAATCAATAAATTAGCCCAAACAACAATGATATGATTTATCAATAATGAACAATAGAGACTGAGATAAAATAAATAAGCAAACTGTGATTGAGTACAGAACAACAGTTACACAGGTAATTCAACATGTACACGACCTATGTGGGTCCCAACAGTACTAACATATAGCCTAAACATGGTTTATCACATAATTTGCAGTCAAATCTCTATAACACAGAGAGAGCATATAGCTAGCAACAAGTTATACAACTTTACAGTTTTTACGGGACGGACCAAGTCACAATCCCCTCGGTGCACGCAGACACGCCCGTCACCTAGCATGTGTGTCACCTCCAAAGTAATCACATGATACCAAATTCCGGGGTTTCATACCCTCAGGACTAGATTTATAACTGTTACTTATCTCAACACATGAAATTCTTTATTCTGCAATGGCTTTTCCTCGTGAATTGCCTCTAAATGCCTCGAATCTAGCTACAAATAATTCGACTCAGTCAATAAAATTTATTGGAATTAAATCCATAAGAAAATGCTATTTTTTTCATAAAAATCCAACATTTAGCTCAAAATTCGCACGTCTCGGAACTTGACAAAAGTTACAAAATATGAACGCACATTCAACCACGAGTCTAACCATATAAAAATTACTAAATTCCGATATAATTCCGCCCTCAAATCCTCAAATTAATCCAAGAGGGTTTTCAAACTTTTCTAACTTAATTCACCAATTAAAAGATAAAAACAACCATGAATTCGGATAATTTAACCAATATTGAGTTAAGAACACTTACCCCGTTATTTTCACTGAAAATCTCACAAAAATTGCCTCAATCCGAGCTCCAAATCATTAAAAATGGTTTCAGAACTTAAAATTTCTGCCGAGGCTTTTTCTTCTATGCGATCGCGGCCAAAGGCACGCGATCGCGAAGAACAAAATAAGGTTGCCCAGAATTAGAGCCCGTTTGGATTGGATTTAAAAAAGTGGCTTTTAAGTTAAGTGTTGGAACTTATTTTATAAATAAGCAGTTATGTGTTTGGATAATAGTGCTGAAACTGAAAACAAGCTGATGAAGTATTTGGTAAACAAGTGCTGGTAAGCACTTTTTCTTGTTAAAATGATTAAAATATCCTTAAAGTTGTTAACATTATAAAGAAGAAGATGAATGATTTGATTTTAGAATATAGTTACACCAATTAAAATAAAAGGAAGGATTCAACGACCAAA